TTTTTAAAAACTGTGGCTCTTGTTTTTCCTTTATTTCTTTATAATCGTTCGCTCTTGCGGACAAAATTTGAGAATTGAAAACTGAAAATAGGCTTTGCGCACAGCAGTGTTTGAAAATTCGGTAGGCAAGATGGGATATTACGTAAGTTAGATAGATAGATAGATAGATAGATAGATAGATAGATAGATAGATAGATAGATAGATAGATAGAAAACGGAAGAGATAAACACAGAGAGAAAGAGAGAGGAGAGGATAGACAGAGTGAGAGATTTGGAAAGAAAGAAAGAGAGAAGGACAGATTGGTAAAGGCCCTGGAAAGAGAGAGTGGGAGAGAGAGAGATAGCGAGAGAGATGTATAGAGACACAGAGAGAGAGAGAGAGAGAGAGAGAGAGAGAGAGAGAGAGAGAGAGGGAACAGTTTGTGTGAGAGTGTGTGTGTGTGTGTGTGTGTGTGTGTGTGTGTGTGTGTGTGTGTGTGTGTGTTTGAATGTGTGTATTTGAATGTGTGTATGGGAATGTGTAAGTGCGTGTGTCAGACAGTGTGTGTTTGCACGCACCTGCGTGCACGCGCATGGATGTTAGCGTATCCAGACGTAATGAGCTACGAAAATACTCACACAAGAACGACGAGAGCGACAAACATGAGTGCAGCGCACACCACAAAGACAGCCCCTGCAAAGGTGGACACGGTTGCATAGTAGATTCTGTTTGCGGCGAGACCAAACACTCCTACTGCCAGTGTCTCGATGAAACCCAAGCCGGAGTACATGGCTCCTGCAATAGAGAAAACACACCATAAACTACGCTTAAAATCATATCTGTAATTCAGCTTTCTAAAAAGCATCAAAGAATTGGAAAAAGAGGCTCACCCGCTATTAAAAGACTACGAACTGATTAAATTTTCTCTTCAGATTTATCTGAGGATTGGTCAAGAAAGGTGAAGTTAATTTTCCAAGGTCGTGGCACTTAGATATAATATTAAGTAAAAATTAATTTTACCACATGTACGCTGTAACCGACTTTCTAACCAGGAAAGGCATCGAAGAGAAGCCTGTGAGTCCAAATAGCACACTTTTAAAAGTCTACCGAGGACAACATCGAAATTATCAATGACTGAGACAATAATAGTAACAGTAATGATATCAAGGTTTGTTTTGTGTGTGGTTCATTCATTTGTTAAGCCCTAGTCACTATGTTAAGATGCCTCGCTTTGTCGTTGGGTTTTTAATAAGCCCAGCCTGCATGAAAAGGACATCTTTGACCTCTTCAAAATTTTACTAATTTTAGTAACAGGGATCTGGTCTCAACTCTGTTGAACTTTAGACACCGATAACCGACAGCAGAACATCGAAGCTTATAGATGAAGGAAGCCCAGACATGACTCAAAACAACAAAGTAATATTAAGCAGGGAAGTGCAACATCCAAGAAGACACACGATGAATACACAAGCAAGTGCAAAACATCAATCTTGTCCTAATACCCATTGCAACCGATATTTTGGGAAGTACACTGGTCAAATGAGCCAGGGCCCGGGCCATGATATCTTAACAGGATGCAGAATGTAGGCAAATAAAACCTGAACATGATTATTTTATTTCATTCTTTTTTGTGATTGACCAGGGTCTAACAATTCTACGTAAGCATTGACGTTTGTATGGGCTTTTTCATAGTTTGAAGAGCTTTCATCTCATGTTGGAATGTCCCAGCATCTGTGATGCAGCGGTTAAGTGCTTCATTGTCGCACCCAGGAGACCCAAGTTCGATTCCCCGAGTAAAGATAATGTTTATCGAGTCCAACGGTCTTTCTGTTGAGATGGTGCATTCCTCTTTATTTATTAACCCC